GGTCTGTGGGTCAGGGAGGGGTCTGTGGGTCAGGGAGGGGTCTGTGGATCAGGGAGGGGTCTGCGGGTCAGGGTCGTCTGAGGCGGAAGCAGATGAAGGGATTTGCGCACGGGAACTTCTGTTAAAGATTTAAGTTTTTTTATTTTTTATTTCAAAGCTCCTCATGGCTCAGCAGCAGAAGCATAAATATTACTGTTAAAAAGCTGATGATAAAGCTGAATAAAAATCTAAGTCTGATGAAGGTAAATTAAATATCTGACAGTGATCATTACACTGTGTGGCTCTAATTCCTCACTTCACCATCTGTGTCGCAGTTTCACRTCTGCAAAATGAGCGTACGCATGGGTCAAAGCTGGCATGAGGCACCGCACATTTTCATGCCAAGTTTAGATTTTATAAATCACAACCTTGGCATAAAACGTGGCATTTGCAAGTTTCTGGGCTCAAATTGTGCGTACGCCAGTTTTATAAATCTGACCCCAGGACTGGACACCCCTGTTTACACAATTTATATATTTATTATGTTTCATTGTGAATAAAAATATGGATTTGTAAAATTTTCAAATAACTGCATTCTGATTTTATTTAAATATGTCCTAACTTTTTCAGAGTAAGGATTGTATATTTAACTTGTCATGTTTTTTCTGGTTGATTATGTTAATGAGAACTGAAGAGACAAAGAGATGAAACCATCAGTAATGTTCTTTCTCTGACCTTTACCTTTAGGTCAGATTGATTCTTCGTGGAGTCCGTTGTGGATCGGTTTGTATGCCCAGCACATGGAGCGTTGGCTGGCGTGGTTCCCAAGGTCTCAGATTCACCTGGTCAGTGGGGAGAGGCTCATCACAGATCCGGCTGGAGAACTAGGCAAAGTCCAGGACTTCCTGGGCCTTCAGAGGATTGTGACGGACAAACATTTCTACTTCAACAAAACCAAAGGCTTCCCCTGCTTGAAGAAGCCAGAGGGCAGCAGTAAACCTCACTGCCTAGGGAAGACAAAAGGGAGGACACATGTCTCCATAGACCCTGATGTGATTCAGAAACTAAGGGATTTCTACAAACCTCACAACCAGCGATTTTATCAAATGGTAGGACAGAGTTTTGAATGGCAGTGATCCTGAAGACTGTGCAGAAGGAGCTTTATGTGCAAATCTGCCATCTGACTGAGACAGACGAAACAACTCAGAGTACAGAGCCATGTTTGTGCCTCTGAACAGCCAAGCAGCATCTCAGACATGTGATACTGAAATCCCAGTGTCAATACGTTCCAGTCTGTCTCTCAGTCAATCATCTTCAGGTGTGTGAAGATGATGTTTGGACGTTGTGGTTGAGCAAAGCATTTTTGGAGCAGAAGATGCAGCTAGCGTGGAATTCCTTTAAAGTTGTGGCTTCTTAGATGTTGAACAGCGTAGATTTTAGTATTTTTGGTTGGCAATTCAAACCTGACTCCTAACCAGATGTAGCTGGATCAAAAGAAATAAAAATAGAATTGACGTCACATTCGAATTTCTGATTTTTTCCCCTACATATTTGCTCTTCAGCCTGAGTTTAAGAATTTAAAGGCAATCAGTTCATTCATATTGAAAAGTGTCCAGCAAGCATTGTTTCCAGAAGGTGGGGGATGAATCTTTAATGGGGTGAGTAGCGGAGGGGTGAGGGAGAAAATCTTTGCATGAGCTCAGATCTGACTGAGTGGTTTGTATTCTTGAATAATAAATGTGGTTAAATGGATGTAGAAGGAACTGATGTGGATCACTTAGCTCATTCGTATGCACTGCTTAGGTTAGCACCCCACCATAAAACCAGCTGTGCTGTACTTTGAGGAAAGTAATGGTACCACTGCAAGGCAACAGAAACAGGATCAAAAAACAGAAAATCCATACAGGGAGGATTGACCAATCACTAGCCATACCTGTGAATGTGATGTATGAAGCTTTCCTGCTTCTTGCTTACATGTAATTGTTTTGTTTTACAGTTGCATGTATTTGCACTAGTTAAAAATAATCACGAAAAATAAAGTTATTTTTAAGCCAAACCATTTCTCATGGTTCGTTTTGCTCATTATTTTTGTGTTGTTGTGCGTTTCATCAGTAGCAGTGTTGGTTGTGCTTAAATATCATCCATTTGTCATCCATTTCCTTTTACCAGCTTTTTCCCATCCAGGTCCTGGGCTACTGTGCAAGAGGTGGGGTTCAACATGGACAGGTCTCAAGTCCATCACAGGGTCCCATGGAGACAATCACTTCACACTCTCAACTAAACCCAGGGACAATTTGGAGTTAAACCTAACGTTTTGGTCTGTGGAAAGAAAAAAAAGAACATCCAGGGGAAAAAAAAAAACATATGTTGTACCGAGACAACATGTAGATTCCACTCAGAAACACCCAGCTAGCTGAAAAGCGATCTTGCGAACTTCTCACTGAGAGGCAACAGCTCTAACCACTGCACCACTGTGCTACTGTATGCTGTGTTACATAGCATGAAGATGATAATTATTCAAATGGACATAAATTTATATCAAAAATGCATTAAAGTACTAAGAGTCTGGTGTTCCATGTAATAATGTTAATTACAATCTCATTGTCGTGACATTTTTCAATTTGGTGTTTTTGCTTGGCAAAATACATGAAATAGTTGAAAATTATCATGTTAAAAATAGCATGTCAATGAAAATCCACATGATTGGTAATGCAAGTATCACTTGTGGGCAATCTTAAGTGTAAAATGATTTCATCCACCTGTTCTGATAGAATCAACCTACACATTCTCACTCCCAAGTCGTCACATATTGACGCTTAAGGTAAAGTTCCCTCTGCGTCTTATTTTGACGCATCAGGTACCCCCCTCGCGTCAGTCCTTGACGCCCGCGGCTTTTCCGGGTTGCGCCACCAGGGGTCTTTG